GCGAGTGCAGTGTATGCAGTGTATGTGCACTGTATGTGTGTACCTGTGTGGTGGGTATGTGCTGGGTGTTCTGTGTGCATACGTGGCAGGTGTCGTGCGGATGCCTGTGGATGCGTGCTGTGGATGCTGAACTACGGGAACGTGCGTGTGTTTGCCGTGTGCGCGTGTGTTCCGCGCTACCCTGTGCGTGCCTGGGCACACACCCGCTCCGATGGTGCCGGCTAGATGCACTTTCTCACTCACTCGCGCCAGGTCCTGCCTCTGCCTTCCACCCGGGACCGGCGAGGGAGACCTGGGCGGGACGCCCGAGTTTCCGGGCCAGGGTCTGGAAGATTCTGCAGACCCCCGCAGAGCCGCCTTCGTTCGGGTCGCTGCGGATTCGTTGCAGGCGGGTTGGCCTCGGGGCCTCCCGCGGGCTCTCCGCGTGCCGGCGTCCGGCTTAGTGGCGCGGTCGGTGCGCTGGGCTCAGGGCGCGGGCTCCACCCCGGGCAGACGGGGGCTGGGGGCTGGGACAACCGGCCAGAACCCCCGCGCTCCGGCCGCCGCCCGGCGCCCCCGCGGCCCCCAGCGCGCCACCTCGGGCTCCCGCGCCGCCAGATCCATCCTCCGGGGCCCCCTCACCGCGCAGGGCGGCGCCTCCAACGCACCTTCCGGACCATTCCGTATTTTGTTAACAGTTTTCTTTGTTTTGGGGGTGCGGGGGTGGTACTTGGTCCGAGAGTGGTCACGGTTTTGTTTTTAACGTGTTTGGTGACTTCATATATACGTGTATTTTAAATGTCCCGGTCAATTCCAAATAGAAGACTGGCATTCGGAAGAAAAGCAAAGACGACGGGAGACTGGGTGCCTGGGGACCGAGGGGAAGACTCGCGGGTGTCGTCTGTCGAGCAGTGCCCCCAAATTCCAAGGGGGCGCAGACCCTGAGACCGCTTTCCTCCCCTTCCCCTGGGAGTTTCTCTAAAGTTATCTGGACAATGATAGTGGGGGTGGGAGTGGGGGAGGGTCATTCCCACTCCGCGGAGGGTGCAGGTGAGCGCAAACCCCAAAGTGCACCGGCGGCTGGAGGGACTGACTGACCTCGGTCAGCAGCCCGCAGTCCCGCCCGCGCCGGAGCTCATTAAGCGATCAGTCAGAAAGAGGAAAAGAGGCACGATCATTGAAAATTTCAAGAGAAGTCAAATCGGAGTGTGTGTAGCGGGGCACGCAGGCCTCTGCGAAGTGTGCCTTCTCCGGGCCTCGCCAAAGGTGGGGTCTTTGCCCACCGAGCACGAGGCGGAGCAGAGGGGGAATCCTCACCGCCCCCACCCCCGGCCCTGCCAAACCAAATGATTCACAAAGTTTCCCCTAAACGAGTTAGTACGAAAGCCTCGCCAAATCGGACTTAAATTCCGCGGAGAGCAGAGGAGACCCAGCGAAGATTTCGTTTGGAGACCGTGGGTAGGATGGAGGGCAGAGGCGTGGATAATCCCACGATGGCCGCCCAGGGCCGAGGACTGGGGTCCGGTGGACCCTCCATTCCCCTGAGCAGGTTCATACCGGAGCTGCGCAGAGTCTGCCCCGGGTTAGACTCCAGCGCCCGGCTAGCGCCGCAGAAGCCCGCCACATACAGAGCCAGGGGGCGGTGCGGGAAGCCCTACGCACCCATCGTGTGTTTGGGGTGTTGAATATGAACCCCCAAGGAGAAGCACCGGTTCGATTGGAGTTTCGCATCCCACCGCCGCGGGTATTTATTCAACGCAAAGAAACGTTACCGGATCCGGTGGGATTGCGTTTTTAAAAGCACAAAGAGCCTGCAAACCACCGTGTATACGGCCACGCGGATCTATTAGGTCGTGGCAGACCCTTGGCTGGCTCTTGAGACCAAGACGATGCCATGCCCCTCTGCGGACCCCATTGTCTTTTCCCGCAGCCCCGCTCTGGTGCTGGGATTCTCCAAGCAGGCCCCTTTGGCTAAGGGAGAGGACCTGCATGAGAAAAAGCCGGGAGAGACAGAGGCTGGGGTATGGGACCTGACATCAGGGAGTCCGTTTTGTTTTGCCTGCCTGCCTCCTCCTCCTCCTCGGTTTTATTATGTTTTGGGATTTCAGTGTTTGCAATTCATTCTAAAGCAAATGACGGAGGCTTGGAGCTGTTAAGTGCAGCTCCCTCTTGTTATTCTTTCCGGACAAAACGAGTCAGAGATGGCCAATGACCGACCCAGGCTATCACAGCCGGCGAGTGCACGACTGGGACAGAAACCCAGGCCTCCAGCCTTCTCAGGCCAGCCCTCCCCTCCTCTCTTTCTCGAACACACATTTACAGCCCTTTCTGGCCCTCATCCTGGCCCCTTCCACCTTTCCTGTTTGGCCTCAGGCCCATGATCGGTGACACGGGAGACCCGTTGGAGGGGACCTCTCCTTGGAGAGTCTGCATCGGAGGAGATCACAGGGTCTCCCAACCAAGTGCCCCAGCACCACCCCTCCCAGCGTGTGTTAAACAGGAGCCGGAAGAGAGAGGTGACGAGGGAGGCACAGGTTTCCTCATTTGTAAAGCGAGGATCCTAATAGTGGGCTTTTTGTAAAGGCGCACAGAACTTGCTTGCTGTGTTTTTTTAATTCTAAAGAGCCGTAGGGTGTTTCCCACCCCTGCATCAGTATGAGGACCCTGCAGGAGTTCTGTGAAGCCCCCTGGGGGGTTAGGAAAGGCTCTCATGACGGGTAGCCTAGCTTTGGAAGATGCCCAAAGTCAACTGCTGCAGAGGCCTGTCCGAAAACCCACCCTTGCCTTTTTTTTGCACAGAAGGGGCTCTGGGTACGTGACTGCGGGACACAATGTCCTTCTACTCATTCTTTAAGTTCCACCTCAAAAGTACCTCCGTTGTACACTCTTCCCTACAGCCAACTCCACTGCAGACAGCATTCTCTTCCTTTGTTACGCCCTGAGACGCCGTCCTTGGAATCCACCGCGACATTGTTTTGTGGCTGCCTCCTTCCAGAAGAAGGCAGTGGTGGAAGAAAGAAAGGTTTGGAAGGATGCGTCCTTGTAAGCGCACAGCCCCAGCTCTGATGGGGCAGCGGCAAGGCTGGAGTTGGGGAAGAAAGGGGTACTGTGGTTCCATGTGAAAACACCATTTCTCAACCGAGCGGCCCCCGCATACCTTGTGGGATGAGAGGGGTGAGAGGAAATACATTCTCCAGGCACCCAGACGGGGGATCTGCCCTTCTCCTGAAGCTCCAAGGCTTCAGGGCGGAGAGCTCCGAGCCAAGGGCTTTCTTGGAAAAACTCCCCTCTATCCATTCCAGGAGGGGATCCAGTTTGAAGCTGACTTGGTCATCCTCCCCTCGGGAGACCTGACTGGGGGGGCTCAACCACCCCCAGCACACCCCTTTGATCTTCCTGTCTCTCTGAGCCTGGCCACCCTCCAGTGCCTTCCTTCTCTTACTCTTCTAAGCCTCCTTCTTTGTCTGATCAGGGTCTTCAATTCTAAGACCTGCTGCCTTCACTCTGAGCCCTGATAATGGGAGCAAGCATGTGTGTACAAACATGCATATGCACGTCTGAGCTGTGTGCTCAGGGGAGAAAAGGCGTGCACGTGGGTATGCTGTGGAATCTGTGAGGACGGGGGGTTTGGGGCTGTGACTGTCTCTCCCCGTAACCTGAAGCAGCTTAGATGTGTGTGGACAGTGATCACTCAGAGGGTGGATACGCGTGCATAAACGCTTGGATGTTTCTGCATTCTCGAGTGTGGACACCAGCAATCTGATTTGTATAGTTGTGGGTGTGAGAGACAAGGATCGTGCTTTTCCCAAAGCACGATCTTTCCTTTCTCTACATACCCATACATAAATAGTGCTATTTATCTTTGGGGGAAAAGATAAACTGCTGTTTATCTTTGGGTATGTACATGTGTTTCACATCCCAGCCTATACTCTGTATTTGCAGATCCATTAATGGACCCCCTCTGGAGGGATGCTTATGAACATCGGTGGAGACACCTGTGTGTTTGCATATATGTTGTAACTGAATGGAGCCTATGCCTAGTTGTGTACCTGTAGCCATAGCTACCCGTAAACGTGGACACCTGCCCATCAAGTTGTCGGGTACCTACGTTTAGAGGCAGGTCCCGCACAGACTGGAAAATGCGGCCACCAAGACAGGCCTGCCGTGTTTCCTCCGCTCTCAGAGGAGCCATCAAACTGGACACTCCTTCTACTCTCGAATTTTGTCCCGGGTCGTGCAAGACTTCAGCCTCGCGCGGCGCCGGGAAAGGCGGGGCGCCGCACGGGCGACGGGCGCAGCCAGGACGGCGGATCCCTCCAGCGGCCTCGGGGGTGGGGGGTGGGGGGCCGCCGGAGCTGCGGTGTCGCCAGCGCACCCGCGCCCCTGCCGGAAGCGGAAGCCAGGGTGGGGTGGGGGTGTGGTGAGGCGCAGCGGCGGCGGTCGCGGCTTGTCAGACCCAGGGCGCCCCGCGGGGGCGTGTGCGCCGCGCGCGTGCGGGGCAGGCTGGCCGCGGGGCGGTAACCTCCCCGGACCCGGCGTCTGTTTACCAACAAACTGCCGGGCTCAGCAGCGACGCATTCCGAGGTGCTGAATAAGCTGCGGGCGATGGCGGTCTGGTCCCGATTCCCTGCGGATTGGCGGCAGCGGGATCAGAACCGCGGCGCAGATCCCCAGGGGCTGGAGAGCGGGACGGCGGGTCCCCAGAGCCCCCGGCGTCGAAGCGCCTCCGCCACTGCGCTGCTCCCTTCGCCCTGGGCCATCCCGGCTCCGCCAGCTCCCTCGCGTTTCTGCCATTGAGACCGAAGTGTCCAGACTGCCCCCATCGGCGTGACACCCCAGTATCCCTCTTGGGGAAGACCCCGAGGTGGCTGGGCCTGGAGCGTGTGCACCGCCCCCTCGGACCCCTCAGTTCTGAATTTCCTACCGCGGGCTGCCCCGGGTGGGCGGGCTCCGGCTCCAGCCTCCGTGAGGTCACTGCGTTTGGTAGCCAATCCGTGGCGTCTAAGGGGGCGGTGCCACCGTCGGGTCCCGGGAACCGAACCCAAGAGCTAGACGAGGGGGGCCCCCATGGATTTAGGGGGGAGGGGGAAAGCCATGGGGGGCACCCCTTCGGAACCCCTTTCCCAGGCGCGCGCTCTCCGCTGGAAAAGGCACAGAGAGACACTTTCCCCGGGATCTTAAGTGTGCGGGAGGCTGGCTGGGGGGCTCATCCGGTCCCCACGCCCGAGGCTCGGAAAAGAGAGAGTTGGCGGAGCGAGCGGACTACGTGCCGGGCCATGGCCTAGGCCCTTCGGCCCCGGCCCCGGCCCTGGCCGCAATGACCTCTTTGCCCTGCCCCCTCCCTGGCCGGGACGCCTCCAAAGCCATATTCCCGGACATCGCCCCTGTCCCATCGGTAGTGGCTGCCTACCCGCTTGGCCTTTCCCCCGCAACCGCAGTCGCCCCCGATTTGCCCTACTCTGGGCCCTATGGCCACCTCCTGCCCTACTCCTACACTGCGCCGGCGACTCCGGGAGACTCCTACCTGCCCGGCCAGCAAGCAGCGGCGCCTTCTCAGCAGGAGCCGAAGGCAGGTAAGTCCGGGCGCCGTGGCTCTTCCCACCTCTGGGGTCCTGATCCTTTGCGTCCCTAAACTTCGCCCTCGCCTGGTTGGGCGCAGCTAGCGGGATTCAGACTTACTCAGATTCCAAGGGATCTGGGGGTGGGGGGAGGGCGAAGGGATGGGGCGGGAGCCAGGGGGGAGGGGCGGGGGCGAGTCGATCTAGGTCTCCTTTCAAGACCGACCTGGTTTCGATTTGCAGTTGTGTGAAGCCGGGCGGCAGGGCTCCCTACCCCACCCCCTGGAGCAGCGGGGTGATGTGTACCTACGTGTAACGGAAAGCTGAAACAATCCAGATGTGGGTGTGGGTGCCTAGCCCCTGCCCCAGGATTCTTTCCGTCGCACACTCCTTCCCTTCCCCAAGTCGCCTCTCCTTGCGTTTGTCTTGTCTTAGAAAGCAGGGCTCAAGCCAAAGCCAGACAAATGGCAATCGGGTCCCAGCTGGAAGGCAGTGGAAGTGGGGGCTTATTCGGGGCCCCTCCCCACTCTCCCTGGGCCGGTGCCTGAATGGGCCTGATAGAGACTGGAAGCTGGCCTGGCAGAATCTGGGGCTAGGACCCCACCACCCGTTGTTCCAAGACTGTAGCCACAGGTGGGTGGGGCGGCCTCTAGTTGTCTAGATCCTGGCTACTTCAGCCTTCCTGGGGAAGGAGCGGGCCTTCCTGGGCATTTCCGCCCCTCGCCTTTGTGGGGGACAGGTTAGGCCCCAGGTCCTGCTGTCTGCAGCAACTTTGAGTCCCTGAGAAAGTGCTCCCTGCAAGGCCGCAGAGAAGCCAAGAGCTAGCTAGCCTGTCTTACTGGTCCTGGGCCTGGTACCGGGCAGAACGCAGCATTATGCCTACCCGGCTGTACTAGCTCCCAATTAGACCTCAGGTCCCCTGGCCTCCCTGCCCCCACCTGTCTTTAGCAGTCTCCTCCAAGGATGCACATCCACTGGGGGCTTTTGGTTGTGTCAGCCCGGACCAAGACCTCTCTCCCCCTTTCGCTGTTACTCCAACATATGAGCTCATAAGCCATCAGAGCCAGAAGTGACCCTAAAGATTTGGGAGCTCAACCTACTGGATTACAGATGGGCAAACTGAGGCCCGAGGAACGGCTGTGCATGCCTCTTTTCCAGGCGCTTGGTCCTTGCAGATCGGCTTTCACTGCATGAGGCCAGAAAAGAGGATTTTAGGGAATTTCCTCAGCGCCCCGGAAGTTTTAAGTGCCTTCTGAGCCAGAACCCAAGCTGCCTCTCCCAGGCTTCTGTGTCTGCCCTCCTTAAAGGAGGAGCAGTTGGGAAGAGATCTCTTTGTTTTTGTTTTTGTTTTTATACAAATGACCTAGGTTCTACAAACGGATCCCTTGGACTTCCCTCTAGTATATAACTCATATGGGACATGTGTGTGTGTGTGTGTGTGTGTGTGTGTGTAGCCAGGTGGGAGTGCGGCAGCCTCAGCCTTCAGAGAAATGTTTATAAGGTTAATATTTTCACTCCTGTCCTCCACACTCCTTGTCTTCCCTCTGCTTGGTCCATGGACAAGAGGGTGGAGAGTTCCTTTTCTGTACAGAATTTCCCCGGATCCAACGAAAACCATACACGTGCTTAGACTAGACGGTAGAATTTTTCTCAGGAAGCTGGTGGGTTTGCCCCTTCTAGCTTGACCGCTTGGGGTGTGAGAGAGGACTTGAGCCCTCCTTTTTGCCCCACCGTGTGTCCACCCGTGCCTCAGGGGGAGGTTTGGCTTCTAGAGCTTCGGAGCCTGCTCAAGCGGGCGGTGGTGCCCGGAGGGAGGCCTTTGGGCTCCATAATCGCGACCGGAGTAGATCCGGTCGTGACCTGCCACAACCGGTGTGGAGAAAGGCAGCTATCGGGGAAGGCATCTGGAGGGGCTTCCGCTGGGAGAGTTGGGGCGCCGAGGGCTGGGGGAGTCCAGCAGCCGGGGCTGCCTCCCAGGCGCTGCGTCACCCGAGCCGCGAGGTTCACGCAGCCGGAGAGGCGCGGGTGGTCGGTCGCTCGGCGGTCAGCCTGGGGCTTCGAGCGTAGGGTCAAAGCTGGGGAGGCCGGACAGGCGCGGGCGGGGAGCGGAAACCCGACAGTTTTTCTGGGAATTGGCAGGGGCGGGGGGGGGGTCGAGGGGGGTGGATCTGAGAAGCCCGCAAAGCCCGGGGCCCTGAGTGAGGGATGCGGGGGAGGTGAAGGCAACTGGTCATCGCGGCCCGGCCCAGGGCGGGGAACCACACGTCGGGGGACGGGGGGGTGGGGGGGGCCGGGGAGCACGACCCGAGGAAGGAGGGGCAGGGTGAGGGTGCGGGATGCAGGCTGACACCAGCTGCGGCTGGGCACCCGGGCCGAGCGCGCTCTCGGCTGGGGTGGCCGGGCCGACCCGAGTGGAAAGCTGCAAACGTTGCCCGAGCCCGGGAGCATTTCGCTTACTTGATCCTCCCAGCCCTATCACCCGAATGCAGTGGTCCCAGGGTGTCCCCGCAGATTGGCGCAGGTTGGGCTACTTGGACGAGAAAAGGAGGACCCCTCGCCCGCACCTCCCGCATTCTAGGGCCGCTCTCCCCTCCGCCAAGATTCCTAGAGCGGCTGGGCCTGGAAGGCGGGAGGTGACCAGATCTCCCGGGACAGCAGGACGGCGAGCTCCTGGAGCGGCCCAAAGGGCCTGCGCTGTCCTGCGCTGCGTGCTTTCCGAACCTGGGCCACCTTCCCCGTGAGCGGTGAACCCTTCTGTGAATGTAGCGGGGAGCGGGATGGGCTGACCCGCTCCCATGGGGCTTCTAGAATCTCCAGAAAGCCATCTCCCCTAGCCAGCCGGCCACGGGAGAGGAGAGGGCGGGTCAGTTTCCCTGCGGGGAGCACCTCCGGAGGGGCCCCTTCCGCGCACCGCCCCCCCCCCCCGGCCTCTCAATAGGGGGTGGCAAGCCCTGAGGGTACTTTCCACTCTTGGATGCCGAGGGGCGGGGGGCGGGGGCTCATCCTGGCCTTCGAGAACCAATTGGCCGGGCCCCTCCGACCCCCACCCTCCCCACCTCCCCACCCCCGGCAGCGGGGAGGCTGCCACGCAAACACTGGCTTGCGCCTCTGAGCATTGTTCTAGAGCTTCCACGGCCTGGAATGCCCTGCCCCCGTCAGCTCCAGGCCTCAGCCCAGCCCTGAACCGAGCCTTTTAGCCCCACCCCACCCCAAGCTGGCGCCACCGCACCCGCCTGAACTCTGACCTCCCGGCCCTTGGCGCCACCTGTACCCTCGCTCCGTCCCTAGGTTCTGGCTTCCTAGGGTCACAGGACCCGTAAGAGTGGGCGCTCCCTGAGGGCAAGAACTGCGTCCTCGAGCCCGGTGGGCGTGGAGTCTGAAGGGGGCGTGGAGCGGAAGGTAGAAGAGGGCGGGGCCGGGTACCCGCACTCTTAGCTTATTGAGGACCTACATGCAAACGAGATGCAAATGAGCTCAGGAAGCCGCGTGTCGGACCCTCTCACCATCCCACACACGCCGCCTTGTGCTGCCCCCCAGACTCGGAGAAGCCGCCGCTGTCCCCGGAGCCTTCGGAGCAGCGCCCGCAGCCCCCGGCCAAGAAGCTCCGCAAGCCAAGGACCATCTACTCGAGCCTGCAGCTGCAGCACCTGAATCAGCGATTCCAGCACACGCAGTACCTGGCGCTGCCCGAAAGGGCCCAGCTGGCCGCGCAGCTCGGCCTCACCCAGACCCAGGTGAGGCCAGGCCCACCCTTCCTGCAGCTAGCCTTCCCCAGGTTTGTCCTCTGGGGACTCACCCCCTCCCGGGGGGGGGCGAAAGGCCGAGGAGCCCCCTAGGCCCTCCGTAGAGGCTGGGGGGATGAGTTAAAAGGTGTGTTTGGGGAGAGGGGCAGATTCAGGTAGCGGAGAGCACCCGGACCGGGAGATCTGGATGAGAGCTCAGAGGCGGGACCTCGGGCAACCTCGGGGCCTACGGAGCACCTTCCCAAGCTCTGCTCTTCTCCCAGGACTGCGCCCCACGGCTGGGTGCCATTTCCTTGGCTCACACCCCTCCAGACGCATTCTTCTTCTCACCTTCCATTCCTTCCCCCTCTTCTCCCCAAAGGTAAAGATCTGGTTTCAGAACAAACGCTCCAAATACAAGAAGCTCCTGAAGCAGAACTCTGGAGGACAGGAAGGGGACTTCCCTGGGAGAGCCTCCTCCTTGCCTCCCTGCTCCCCACCCCTCCCGGCACCCTGGGATCTGCCCAAGGCAGGGGCCCCGCCCACCGGTGGCTACGGCAACAGCTTTGGAGCCTGGTATCAGCATCACTCCCCAGATGTCCTGGTTCCACCTCAGATGATGTGAGTCCCGGGAAGGGCGGGTGGCCCCCCCCCCCGCCCAGTCCTCCACAAAGCCTAGGGCCCAGCCCACCTGCACCCCTTCTGGTCCTGGAGAAAACCAGCCCCAGATGGGGAACTAGAGAAGAAAAGGGATGGGGCGGAGGCCCGTCTCCCTTGCCCTGTAACCCAAACAGCCAAATCAAGGATTTTGGTCTTAACCACTGCCCACCACCACTACCGTGGACCGGACACCTTCCCTCCAGCTGATCGGAGGCTCTGGAGGGAGAGTCACTGGCTGAAGTTCAGACTCCTCCCAGGACCCCTGGGCTTCCCACCGCTTCCTTGGACTGCAGTCTGCCACCAGCCTGGGGGCGACACAGACAAGAAACACTTGAGTGGTTTTTCCTCTTTGTGTGCCTTGGGCCTCGCCCAGCCCTGTTCGGAGCCGGAGCCAAAGCAGAAGCGAAGTGGGCATCCGGTGTCTTCAAGTTGACCACCATCGAGTCCCTCCCACCCCACCCCCCACCGATTTTCCCCGTAGGTCAGCACTGTTACGGCCATGGCTGATACACCGCCTCACTGCCCTGTGAGGTAGAAGAGATGCTGAAAATGTGGTGTGTGGACCTATGCGTAATTTATGCTTTTCTTCTTAAAAAAAAAAAAAAAAAAAAAAAAGCCTTCTTTCTCCTGTGTCTATTCAGTTTTAGTAGATACCGGATCCAATTATCCTTTTAATTCAACAGGTATTTATTAACAGCCTATCCCCTCCTTTCTCACCCTGAATACCCACCAACCTCACATGCACACCCTCTTGGAAACTCAATAGGGCAACATTTTGGGGAGAAGGGGGGACACACAGGTTCTCTGGATGAGTGTAAGGAGAGACACCCCCAAATAGGGACCGGGGGGGGTGCCAGTTCAGCTCCTCATAGCTGTCTCTGTCCAGAGGAACCGCTCCTATTTATAACCGATCTAGCATCTTCCACATCATGAGCTTTCAAAGATTAAATTTGTACAAAAACTTGGGCCCTGGCTGTGAAATATGTTTGTTTCCTGACTTACAGGGGGTGAGGGTTGGTTGCTCATCTTTCTCTTGTCTCCCATCTGACCCTTCCAGCACTGACCCAGAGGACTGGATGCTAGTTTTGCCTCTACCACTAACTAGCTCTGTGGTTGTAGCTCTGGAATGTTCCAATGACCATGTTCATTCGCTCCCGTGTGAAACTGGAAGATGCTAATGCTGGAAACAACTGAAGTCAGAGTGGTCCTGGCTCGCTCGCACATTCTCTCCTGCCTGGCCCAGTTCTGGAGGGAGCGGGGCACTTTCACAGTCCCTACGTGCCCCATCTTCAGCCCCTGCTTGCCCTGGGATGGGACACACCCACTGAGCCAGTCCAGTCCTCCCAGTGTCCTCCTTGGGGTGTAAAGGCCCCAGCCCACCTAGGGGGAAGGAGAGGAGAAGAAAGTCCCAGAAGGAACTGGCTTCTCAGCTCTGTGAGATCCTGGAGATAAGGAGGAGACTCAGGCAGACCCTGTGGGCTAATGGGGGAGCCAGACAAATGTCCCGCCACGTTTGTGTGCTAAGTGCCAGGTTAAAGGAAGTAGTGCAGGCATAGTCAGGGGCCTCAACCCAGCCAGGACCCAGAGGTAGATTCATGGCCTCTACACCCCATCACACACACACACACACACACACACACACACACACACACACACAGCACCCAGTGGCAGAGAGGCCCAAGGACAGGACTGTGAATAATTCAGGGAATCCAGCCCAAGCTTGGCCTGAGGGATTAGGGGAGGGGCCTCCAATTCCAGGCGAAAAGCTCCAGAGTCATCTTCCCTTTTGCTGTCTAAACCTGTTCCCAAGCACTTCGAGCTGGGGGACTGCCCTGGTTAGAAAAGCCCCCTCGGGCACTTGGAGCCAATCCTCTCCCCTGCCCCGACCCCAGAGAGGAGCCTGAGTTGCGGTCTCTGCAGGGTAGAGGGGGTACGCAAGTCAGCGGAACCCCCACCCCAGGGAGGCCTGCAGTCAATGCTTCCTAGGCCCCTTCTGGGTCAGTGGCCACCCCTGCTCACCAAAACATGCTCACAAAGCATGGAGGGTTATCCTGAGGATGGTAAAGGCATGGGGTAAAAGCCAAGATCAGGAGCAGTGAGGATTGAGGGTACCGAGAAGAGAAACACTCCTCTTTCCTCGCCATCAATGCCTTCCCTGGCCCTTCGCGCCCCCCCCCCAGTCCACAGGTGGTGGGGGTAGCAGGGGGGGCAGCCCCACATCCCTTCCCCAGGGCTTCTCTGAGGCCACAGGGCCTCAGGCAGCTGTTCCTCCCACTGCAAGCTGCACACTCCTCTTCCACAGACCCATGATAAGATCTACCGCCCCATCTCGGAAAGCCTCCAAAGGCGAGATTAATTGGACAGCCCAACACGAGTCGCATCGTTAAAACAACAGCCCAGGTTGTAAAGTTAAGTAGCAGAAGGAGTGTAATTACTCTCCCAGCCAGAGGCCGCCCCCCCCCATTCTCTACCCCCATCCACCAGACCTTTCCAGAGGAAACAGGAGCCCTTTCCCCTTGGGAGTCCGTCCAGTCTCCCTGGGCTCCTGGGTGATGATGGGATTGAAGCCCCAGGGGAGGATGAGCCCATCACCTCCCTCAAGCCATCTGAGCTGTAGAGGGAAGGGAACCTGTGGTTTCTTGCCCTGAAGACCTCCCTCTGAGAAAATGGGGTCAATAATGGAGCGGGGGACAAAACGGAAAGGTTGAGAATGGGGTTTGGGGGCTCCGAAGAGTCTCGCTCTGCTGTGTGGCTTTTGGCAAGTGACTTAACCTCTCTGTGAGCCTGGTTTTCCTCCCCCATCAAGATGAGAATGCTAATAGGACCTGCTTCCCGGTGTAGCTGTGATGATGGAATGAGATAGTGCCTGTAACACGCTTGACACGGTGCCTGGAACTTAGTACGCGATTCACAAATGGCATTTATAGCTGCCGTGTGATTATCAGGGAGGAGGGGTCATGGCCGGGGTGAGTTCAGCCTGCCACTGCCACCCATTCATCTCTCACCTCTCACCTCTCGCCCTCCCTCCCAAAGGTAGGGAGGAGGAAGGGGGCCGGAGGCTGGAGCTCAGCACACATACCTTGTCACCACCATTTGAAAGCAGGACACAGGCAAGGTCCTAAATGCAAAGGGGCTTCTAAAATCAGCTGACACTGGAAAATGGAAACAGGGAGTCCAGGCCCCACGTTCTCGCACCTACAAGGGTCTCCGCCCCAGGAAAAGTTGACTTGGGGCTTCCCTTCCCTCTCCCCCTCTGCTATTTTAAGACGGGCCCCCCAATCTCTCCCCCAACAAAATGAGATTCAATTAATTCAATTAAAGCAATTTTGGGAGCAGCTCCTGAAGGTTTTCAATGTGAGATAATTACAAGTAATTTGCTGCTGTGAAGAGGAAAAGGGCACACAGGGTCTGGGGTGGGGGGGGGGAAGAGGGTGCCCCTCCCCACCAAACGCACAAGGATGTAGAGGGATTCCACACGGCAATCTTAACTGCCCTCCCATTGGCCAAATTACTTGCAGGTGGGAAGTAGGAGACAGGGGTGGTGGGAGGGGGCTGGGAAGCCACGGAGTGACAGGCCGACCCTCCCCCATCCCCCAATCTGTTGTGTGAGTGGGGGGTGGGGAGCTGGTCGGTCCCCCACAAAATGTCTGCGTAGCCCTAGCAGCTGATTACTCAGCTCCAAACCTCAGTTGAGTTTGGATGCCCGAACTTGCCTCTGGGATGGTATCCAGAGTCAATGGAATGTTATCCGGGTAGCTGAGGCCTGTGTAGACGGGGTCTTGGAGATCCAGAACTTCCCCCGAGAAAGCCTAAGCATAAGCGATGTGGGTAGAGAGGGGAAAGGCCAGAGGAGGCTACACTGACTTCCTGCTTCCAAGGAGGTGATGATACGCCTGCGCTCTCTCTCCTCCCTCCCCTGATCTCCCTCCCCTGATCGCTGTTTGCCAGTTGGAGGGGGGGTGTCCTAAACTCCATTCTTTCCATTGTTGTGGTGGCAAATCTCCTCTCAGCTTTCTGTCCTCAGGGCCACTGAAGCCTCTTCCTTCAGAAAAGCTTTCTGCAGGTGTTTCCCGCCCCCAAGTCACCTGGATAACCCTTTCCTTGCCAGGATTCCTGGGGCCTAGGAAGGGGTGGGGGCAGAAGGGAGGAGGGGGGAGCTAAGACAAGGCGGTGAGGGTGGCTTCAGGCCTCTGCAAAGACCCCTCTGAGCCCTGTCCATGGGCAGCTGGTTCTCAAGGGACTAGGATCCCCCCTTTACCTGGGAGCCCCCATTCCAGGAGGTGAGTAACATTTTAGCAATTATGGCGGAAAAGAAAAATTCTCGGGCCCACAGAGTATTTCATGCCTTCCCTTCTCCACCACCTCTGTCCCTGCTTCTCCCATTCCAAGTATCTCCAGCTCTGGGTTCTCTCTGCTCCAGCCCTTGCCTCACCCCGTCTCTGAGAAGCCCGGCTGTGGGTCCCTGTGGGAGCCACTGAGTCCCCCGGGTGACTACCGTGTCTCCCCTCCCAAGCTGAAAAAGCCAAAAAAGGCAGGAGAGGGAAATGTGACCTCTTCTCCATGCCTCCGCTCCCCCCACTCCTGGCGGCTCTGATGGGTTCAGGAGGGAATTAAAGACCCCTCCCCACAATCCTCAAAACACAAAGGCCCCAGACAGTGCAAAGGGACAGGCAGATGCAGGGACCCTGCTCAGGGACTCCGCGAGTGCACACACTTTTCCACCGAAGAAGGTGCACACGCAGGCAGGCACAACACACAGCCACATCGCTGCCGTGGGCAGAGCCACCCACAGAGCCACACGTGAGGCCACGTGCACGCAGCCTTTTCCACGGCTGTGCCCAGACACACACAAAGAAATACACTCACAGGTTATATATTCGCGATGCACAGGGATGAGCCAAGAAGAGGCACAGAGACTTAACCTACGCAGAGACACAGTGACACACACCCAGAAACACAGATGCGCCTTCCCGGCTGTGAGCACATGTTGGGGGGGGGACAGCTCTCTCTCTCTCTCTCTCTCTCTCTCTCCTCCCACCCTTTTCTCATTCTGGCCTTTTCTTCTAGCTCTCTGTCTCCGATTTTCGATGATTCTCGGGGAGTATTTCCCTGGTGAGCAGTTGGGGAGGGAGACTGAATGGCCACAGAAACCCGATAATTTTATTATGATTTTATTTTCTTTGTTCCCTGAAGTCTTGCCTCCTTCTTTTCCTGAGCACTAGCAAGAGCTCCTGTGAGAGCCCCTCCTGGTACATCCCATGGCTCCCAGGCCATTCCAGCCAAGGCCCAGCAATACAGACTGTCCTCTCTGACACCCTCACTGATCCCTCTGGCCCCCCAGCCCTGAGGGCAACTCCAGCTGGCAAGGAGGGACCTGGGACCATAAGATGATGAGCAAAGTGCTGCTCTCCACTACTTGCTGTGTGACCTTGGGCAAGTTACGTACCCTCTCTGAAGCTCAGATAATTTCTCTTGTCAAATCCTGCGTGTGTGTGTGTGGGGGGGGGGGTTGATATGTGTCTACCAGCGCTTTCCACTCGAGTCTGGGGCTTTGTAAGGCAGACCCTGTCTCCCATCAGATTGGAGGCTCCTGAGTACAGGGCTTTGCTTCCTACATCAGACTAGATGCATTCATCTTTCCAACCCTGTAGCTTGATGACTCTAAGGGACTCAGCCCCATTGGCATCCTGGGGGACATGTCTGGCCAGTCCAGGAAGGGAAAGGAGTCGGCCCCAAGCTTCCTCCAAGCATCAAGGATTCTGATTCAACACCTCCCAGTGCCAAGCCTTTGGCTTCTTTGGCCCCAAAATGGAGAGATTACTTCATTTCCAGGGGAGGGTGTCACTCTCTGTGGAATATATGCGGAATATACTCCTTTCAGTTTCCTCTGGGCCATCCCTTTTCATTTAAAAAAAGTGTTTAATGTTTGTTTATTTTTGAGAAAGAGAGAGAGAGAGAGTGGGGGA